AAAAAACTTTCGATTTGTCCAGATGTTTTCACGAGCGTTTCAGATTTAATTGATCTTTTTGTAATTGTAGCAGTAAAACTGCATTAAAACTATGCCTAACGTAAATTGTCACATTTCTACGAAGAAAACCTTCTTTAATCGAGCTACTACTTCAACATAGCAAGTAACCTCTAGACACTGAACACTTTCTGCTTAATTTATGCATATAACTAAAGATTAAGGAATGAATTGAAGTTAAAATCGATTGTCTCTATATTCACATCCATATACATATTTGTTCAGTACGCATTGAATTCATCTTCTTCTTTTCTTATTAATGTTCAATTTTCTTCGATCTAGTAAGGCGTTCTACGAGCCTGTTGCTACAAACCGTGTGTTGCGAATCTTAAGCAATGACTGAAATTTTCTTTTCATCTCGGGTAATGATATAATAATTATAAATGGCACGAAGATGCAGATTTCATATCCCCAATAAACGAGAACAGTTTGATTGAAATCGTTTGAAAATACCAGTGGTAATCCAGCAGCTTGTGCAATAGGATTGAGTGAAAATGATGTAGTAAAGACCAAATAAAGGATTGAAGTGCTCAACAATTGTATGATCATTCTTCGATACTTCTTCCATTCGATTGATTGACGTAACCGTTGTCGAGTAAAGATAGTTCTTAGAAACAGTGCAAGACTAAACAAAACAATTAGTATTGTTGGAACAACTTGATGGACCATAAATTCAATGCCTACTAGAGTAGATGTTGGTAGATTCATGTACAAAACAAAATCACAAAATAATAATGAATAATGAATAATCAAATGCATTCTCGCAAGGATACACAAAGTCGACAGAAAAGTAGTAAAATATCATGTACACACAGATGGTACTTATCGGTAGAAAGTGAAAATAAATTCGACCACGTTTCGTATTGTATATATTGGAGTGAAAAACAAGTAAATGTCGTTCAATTGCTGCCTAAGTCATGAGAAACAAACTCGAATAGTACGAGACTGAGTCTATGAATACCAAAATGACACAAGTCGTATAAGTCGATGGATGGATAAAGCCTGTACGTACATACTCAAGAACTAGCGAGAGAAAAACAGATAGTTCCATGAAATCCATCACAAGTATTATGAAAATAACATGGAAACTAAGTGTTTTTTTAAATTCGTTTGGTGACGAAAGAAAGTAGTACCCAATAACAATGTATGCAATAAAGGATAATACTTGCAATGTTTGTAAAAATATATACGGAACGTGGTGTTTGTACGCTTCACTATCATATGTTTCTATGATAGACATAGTGGCTGTTGTATTGAGAATCATTTCTGTTATGTTTGTTACCATGATTGGATGTGCAACAAATAAGTAATTTACGTCACTTTGTATTACTTGATGAAAAAGCTGGCGTCGACTAACTTTTTTCCTCTCGAAATAAACTGTATTGATTGAATCAAAATAATGAAAAATTCTATAGAGAAGTTTCTTTTCTTGTGACAGCAAATAAAATGCGTCAAAAACTGTCACCATGAACAACATCCTTGAATATGTTAGAATTTTCTGGATGATATAGTTTTATTACATATGATATCTCTTGTTCAATGAATAATTCAGATGAAATTGACGTTTTTCACATCTTTCCTCATGATTAACTCGAGAATATATCCCAAAGACTTCTGCATGAAACGCTTACACAAAAGAGAAAGTAGAAACCATCATTGCCATGTTTTAATCGAAGCCGCTACGTATAATTAAATTAACGTATGGTTTCTTACACCGTCGAAAAAAAAAACAAACAAACAAAAGAATCGTCTTATTGTCAATTACAATTTTTTTCAAGAGAATAGAAGTTTTCTTCATTGAGAACTTAAAAAGGAAAAGCTATTTAGACAAACTTCACTATATCTAAAAGTACCAATTAAGGTAGGACACAACATTTATACAATCGCTATGCCGCAACAATCAAAATTCAAAATGGATGACATTTGAACGAATCTTACGAAAAAATTCTGAAGAAATCTACTTTTATGAACTTAAAGTAAAAGAAAAACAGTTAGAAATTGACTGTAAGAATGTGGATGAGGGTGTCACTTGCAAAGAAATACGATACCTACGCCCACTAATTCACACATCCACAATTGTCTGAAATTTCGCATTACAGAACAAGTAACAGGTGTAACAATTGACTCTTACTCTATTGTTTTTACAAAGAATGTGTACCTGATGTCAATAGTAGAGTAAATAGGAAATTGAAACCGTAAAGGTTCGGAAGTCATTCCAGAACATAGATTCCGACGAAATTTCGGAGTGCTCATGCATAGTCCCATTACACGGGGTGACGAATATTTCTGCATTTAAATATACCCGATATTCCTCCAAGTTGATCATACTTTTTCTACAGAGTCGATGCCTTACCAGGCACTAATATTCATACTATTCGATGCAACTATATCCTAAGAGTTGACGAATTTGAATTGTTTTCTTAGGATACCGTTTACTTAAAGGGTAATACCTCAAAACAACTAAAATTCCTCAACTTTTTGGATATGTAGTTCGTTCAGATGCAAGTAGCAGAGTATATTAAGGGGAGTTATGCCCAGTAAATAGAGGCGGTTATATTCCACCTGGATACTGTAGGAGTATTATGACGTCGATCTCTCGATGATTCATCTAATAGTATTATGACATCTATGAAATTTCGTGAGTCTTGAAGGTGTAGATGTGGATGTGGGTGGCAGATGTGCAGGTATCGCATTGTACATCCATAGCCACGCTCACAGACACCCACATCTAGCTCCTATTCGATCTCTATTCATCTTTTTTTTTTATCAATCACCGAACTCACAATCGAATGAACTCTAAGTATGTGAATTCCTTATCAAACATAATATAATCTTTGTTTGTAATAGTTCATACTAACGATAAGAGATATTACAGCCACATAGCGAGATTGCCATCAGTCGACAATCACAGACTATTGCTCATTTAAGAAAATTAAAAACTACTGACTATTGTAATTTTAATGAATGTGAAACAAATAAAAAGTCAAAGTATTAAAAGTAAAAAGAAGGGTTTAATCAAATACTTTTTGTCGCTCAGATTGATCCGTCAGTCCAAGATCGGTATCTTTTATTTCTCTTGTAATTGAAATCAACACATCTATAGGGTCATAAATACTATTGGCTCTCGCATGAAGGTCGAAAATTGTCGGTTTAATAAGTTTTATCGAAATATTCCTAGAGTTTGTCGTTGAATCTTGATTCGAAAAAGTACGCGAACAACTGTTATTCGACGTCGAATAATAGGAAGTAAATAAATTCATCAGAGTCTAATCGTAGAACTGAACAGAAGCCTTTAGTGTCGATAAGCCATAGGGAACAACTATTTGTTGCAATGGATTTTCTCTAGGCATCGACTGTTTACAAGTGAGAACTCCACAATACTATACGATCGTGCATAAAATAGATCAGACAACCTCAGGAGATTATCAATTCACGACCAAACAATATTTTCTGAATGATAACAAATGCAAGACTAAACCATCGGTACATCACTGTTAAAACATAATAATCACATTCAAACAGCAGAAGATATGTCTTTTTTTCTATATTGAAACAAATTTCTAAATAAGCACAACACAAGGTCACAACAAGAAAAGCATGATAATTGTAAATGAATCTTCATATGACACGATTAGAAAGATAATTCATTTTTCGTTTTAATACTTATTGGCGCTGAAATGGAGTTTGAATTCTGTTTCTAATACGAGTAATGGCTTGGTTGAACTCTTTTCGATAGAATTCCGATGGCAGAACAAAATTGTAAATATAAGTAATGGTGGAATAAATGAAATAAAATAACTACAGATATATAGCCAATGATTTCGAGGAGATTTCATACAATCCGTAATAAGTGACATAATTAGACGAGGCAAAGCAATGATAACTAGAAAAAATGAGCTCAATAATCGATGTTTGTGTTTATAAAATTGCTGCCGTAGATATTGTTTATAGGAGTGTTGTTTGTGAGTCTTCAATTTCTGTTGAGCTATTAGGATAATTACCAATACAGTCGAAATGAAATTGAGAGAAAGAGGTACAAGAAAATGAAAAACGTTATTAAATGTGGCAAAAGTTCTTACAGATGATGAATAACGAACTACACACCATATTCGTTGTTCTTCTGTTTCTTCAATTAAACGACGATGAACAGGATCATAAATAAAACTTGTAAAAACTGACAGATATATTCCAAACAAAATTCTTTTTAGCGATTTGTTTACTCTTTGCTTTATTGAATTTAATACCGAGTCGAATGGTCAATGTTCGTTCAATACTCACACAGGCATTTAACCAATCTCCAATGGCCAAAAATGATTTCATGAGTATATCTAAGCAGACACAATTCGATTTAAGAAGAGTATAATTAGTAATTATTGACATTTGAGAAAGGAGAAGTAAAACGAATTTTGCTATGAATAATGTCATTGTAAGAAAAGATGTGATTGATGATGCAAGTAGATATAGACCACAACCTATTTGAAGCGAGCCTTTTGTTTGAAACGTGACTGTAGACAATATAGCATTGATAATGCCAATAGTAAACATCAATATCGTTCCACTTGTACATAGCTTCACTATAATCGGCTGTTTCGAGAAAGGAAAATTAGGCCAAATACTATAACCAAGAATATCGTCGAGTGATAGACCGAATCCCATCGTTGTAAATTGACATCGACTACCATAATAACATTCTTTGCAAAAACATGATGATGATGTTGGACAAGTATCGTTATCTTGATAGAATTTACCATCATTTTCACAATAATTCGATCCTAAATAATTGTAATCTTGTTTATAATCGAATTTGAAACAATTTGCATGTCGATCAATGTCACATAGGCACATGAAATAATCATTATCATAGAAACAGACAAGATTTGAATGTTTTTGACATGGAACATGATAATATTTGGCTCGATGCCATCGTGGTAAGGCTTGAACATGATCATCGAACAATTCTTTAATTGATGGACAGTGATTTTCGGGAACGATTGTTATTGAAATAATCGTCGCTGGCGTATAATTCTGTTGAAGAAAAGTAAGATAACGATGTTCATTGAATTCGACAAACATCAGATGAAATTCTTCTGCATAATAAATAAAAGTAGAATTTTCGTAGGATTTGATTTTGGATATCAGAGTTGTTCGGATTGGATCAGCAAGATGTACTTGTGTAGATGGGCGAGGAATTGATGAAACATAGAATAAATGAATAAGAATTGATTGTGGAATAGGTATTGTTTCTGCAAAACTAAATTTGATTTTAGTCTGTTTTTTTTTCACATATAGAACCTACGAAACCTTCTGGACAAAGACAATAATATTCAGTTTCAGGAAATTTTTCATCACCAGCAATACATCGGCCATGATTCAAACAAGGATTCGAAATGCACACTGTACTTTTTAAATAACAACGTGGCCCAAATTTATCATGAGGACAAATACATATCGATCGATTTTTAACAATTCCGAGACAGATCGAATCTGATGAACAATCACAAGAATTATTAACCGTACATAGCATTCCAGAATAGCCATTCAAACATTGACAAAAATATTTATCCGAATTTAAAAAATATCTACATTTTCCATGAAAACATTTTAATGGACAAGTATTTGATATAGTTATAACTTCTCGTATAGGAATATCTAATCGTAGTGAAAGACGATGAACTGGTAAGAATGAATATGGAATAGGATAGTACATACTAACATAATATATCATTTTTAGTCGATCGTAGGCATCGATACGTACGTAATATGTATGATTGAAATTTTTAGGCCGTGTTGAATAGAGAAGATAGAAATTGTATTTTTTTTGACAATTACGTATTGAAATATAGTCAATTTGTTCTGAAGAATGTATATTTGCATTTTCATCCATAAGCATTATAATAAAAGTGAACATCGTTCGCCATTCAGCTGCTCGAAACTGTAATATAAGATTAACTCGTTGACTTTGATATTCACATTGATATCCGAAATAAGCTGGTGGACATAAACAATAGTATTCTTTTAAATCATTGACGAAAATTGGCAATCCACGATTACAAACTGCATTTATATTATAATTGATCCATTCTAAATCCCAGTCAGTATTGGAGTCATCAGAAGGAACGCTGTTGACAGATGTTCTCTCAATAGAATTGCTTTCGTTGCTGATAGCATCAATCGGAAGATAGTTTCGATGATTTTTCAATGTAAAATGGACCCAGGGTTCTTTACGTGAGCTTTGTTGTAAATTTATTAAATATAAATTAGTATCGAATGTGTGCAATGATGTAGAACGAGAAAAACTTTTGAGCCAATCTGACCAATTTAAGAGCTGTGTACACCATTGATCTTCGTCGTCGCCAGAGATACAGTCTCTTTCTTGTGAATTACATATATCTATAGGAGTAATACATTTAGTTTCATTAAAGCAACGGTAGTGTGGAATAAGTGATGAACTTAACGGTGGTGGACAACGATCAATTTCATCATAGCCGCCTAAACAGTCAATATGACCATCGTTAATTCGAGATAGAGGTAGGCAAGTAAAGTTGTGGGTAAGCGATGATATACAAGGATGACCATCTGGACGGCATGGATTAGAAGGACAATTAGCTTCATCGGATGCATTGCGACAATTCCATGTTGCAAAATCATTACATCGTGTATATATATTGTTACAAGGCCAATATTCACAATCCATTTCATCTGTGTAGTTGCGTCCATCAATCAGATTATGGTCGACAAAACCATCACAAAGTATTGAAAAGAACAGATAATTCGTTACTATTCCTTGATTGTGCATAATTGCGTCCGCATCTTCTCGGCCAACACACATTGGTTTTTCCAAATTAGCAATACTCATATAAATGCACTTATGTTCGGAAGAGCATCGAAAACGATAGTCAACATCGGGCAAGGATCTGTGTGGAAATGACATTATCAAGATAATAGGTTTGGACAGTGTTAGTAGTGTTTCGAAGCTAAACTTTTAGAGGAAATGGCAGCATTATCTTTGCTTTTTTTCTACAATGCGGAAACATCTATTCTTTTTCTAAGATTTTTAGAGCTACTCATCGTCATTAAAGCTTGCAAGAAGCGCAGGAAATCATGTATCAACGTACTTGTCCTACAGTCGCGAGGAATTGAGATAAAGGAACTCCTACCTATATCCCCTCGTTCGCTAGACTTTTTCTTTTAATTGTTTTTTGTTGAGACTAAGGTAAAAATGTAAGATCATTAAACTATTCATTGGATATTTTAGTTTTAAGAAAGAAAACCAAAACTATAGGACAGGAATTATTTTTAACAACTATTGAGGCTTCTGTTATATTATGATTGATATCTCAGTTGAATGAATAATTATCAAAATTTTACTGTACATACAACTAAATATCCTCTACAAAATACAAATAAAATCATCTTAAAAAATTGCTTTATTAATGTGTATCACATGTCAATACAAAGTACTCGGTTATACGCTTATTTTGCAGTCCAGTGTAAAAAAATGTTTTACCTATTACTTGACAATGACTTTGAGTTGAAAAGTAAAATTTTTATCACAAATGCAATTTCATATACTCTATCATATAGCAAAAAAAATTAAAAAAAAACAATGGTATTTATAATGAAGGTTCGAACTTTAGATGAAAGAAGATCTATAAAGTAATAATAAATTCTAAGGGTAAGTACGGTGTTGTACTGTTTTTCAACCATACACGTGCATCCACACCCACACTCAAACCTGATGATCGTTTTATAAGACTTAAAAGTTCAATATCTGCTTGTTTTTCTCATATCATCACATTAATCGTATAAAACACACAGTTAAACAAAAGAAAACCTAACGAAAGGCAAGCAGGATATAACCATGTAAGAGGAACATTTACTTTTCTCAAAGTCGGAAGGAGCGCACCCTTTCCATCACATATCCTTTATAGAGTTCAATAACGTATATGTACCAAAAGTAGCCATTCTAATGTTTTTATTCAAGTTGAATCGCTTGGAAAACATCGATTCTTTTGAGACACTTAAAATAGATGTAATATAGATAGTTTTTAATTCTTTGATTATGCTGATCTAAGGTCTTGTCCCAAAAGTTTGGTTCATCGTAGTAAGAATCACCATTTTAAAAATTTTTGGTACTAGACTGCAAAATAAGTGTATAACCGAGTACTTCTTAATGACAAATAGTACACATTAATAAAGCAATTTTCTGCGATGACATTATTTTCATTTTGTAGAGGATATTTAGTTATATGTACAGTAAAATTTTGGTAATTATTCGTTCAACTATAAATGAGATATCAATCATAATATAACAGAAGCATCAATAATTGTTAAAAATAATTCTTGTCCTATAGTTTTGGTTTTGTTTGCTAAAACTAAAAATGTTCAATGAATGGTTTAGAGAGGAGAAGAAGAGATAGCCCATAAAAAAAGTCAGTTCCTTTCTTACCTTTTTCATACTATGTTGAAAGTTGCTAGTTGCTCATTTCTGTACAATATTTTTAAGAGTTCGTACAGTGAAACTATATATTTTCTATCAACACCATACTAACTAGTTATCGATAATATGACTCAATGAGAATATGTCAAGTAATTAGTTAATTCAGAAACATGCCAATTAAGTCTCTAAAACTATTTATAGCATAATATAAAAAAGATTTCATTCGTCAAGAACATGATTCAACTAAATAGGAAATCTTGTTTAGATCGACAATACCAAAAATAGATTATGCAGTATTCATTCAAGTAAAAAAGCGATTATGCTTTCATCTTTTATTTAAAGCGTGTGAAAATAAACTTGAAAGGATAGAATCCTTACATATGCCTTATATAACTTTTAAAATAAGTGAAA